ACCGGGTAACCACAGTGAGACCTCCGTCCCTACCAAAAATTCCAAAATTAGTCAGGCATGGTGGTATGCACCTGCTGTCTTAGCTACCGAGGAGGCTGAGACAAGAGGATGCTTGAGCTCAGGAGTTTAAGGATGCAGTGAGCTATGATTGTGCCACTATACTTCAGCCTGGGTGACATAGCAAGGTACTCTCTCAAAAAATAAACAAACAAAAAAACCTCTGAAACCAACAACAACAAAAAAACTGATGCCTGAGCCCTATTACAGTATAGTTGGTGTTGAGTAGGAAGTAGGGCTGGGCTTTCGTATGTCTCCCAAGACTCCCCAAGAAATTTTATTCCACAGCCAATGCTGACAACCACTGGATAAAAGGCATCCACAGGTGCAACTGCAATTGCCGGTACAATTGGTATTGGAGGCTAACTGTTGCTGGACTTCACTGTTAAGAGAGCAAAATCAGCATTTATTCTCCCATGTGGCACTGTGGATTTCCAGGTGACATGGTTTGGCTGTGTGTCCCCACCCAAATCTCATTTTGAATTGCAATTCCAATGTGTCAGAGGAGGAACCTGGTGGGAGGTGATTGGATTATGGACGTTGTTTCCCCCATGCTGTTCTCATGATAGTGAGTGAGTCTCACAAGAACTGATGGTTTTAAAAGTGGCCGCTCTTCCTGTGCTCTTAGTTCACTTCTCCCGTGCCGCGTGTAAGACTTGGTCGCTTCCTCTTTGCCTTCTGCCATAAGTGTAAGTTTCCTGAGGCCGCCTTGCCTTGCTTTCTGTTAAGCTTGTGCAATTTTGAGTGGTTAAACCTCTTTCCCGTATAAATCAGTCTTGGGCAGTTCTTTATAGCAGTGTGAAAACGGACTAATAATACAATAGGCTTTGCACAAATTCCCTAAGTATTCCACAGTCATTCCAATGAGAAAATAGGACTTTTCTCTGTTTATCACCCTTTTCTCTCTAACCAGTCACTTCCCCAGGAGGGGCTCTCCCCATGACTGAGCTGGCTGGAAACAGGTGAAGAAGGCCCAGTTAGAGGAGGCTACACTACGGGTCTAGCTCAGGAAATAAGTCAAGGCTACATCTAGAGCCTTTGCATAAATGAGGGGAGAACATACCATGGAAACTGGAATTCTTTTCCTTTGCCTTGCAGACTTTAGATAACCGTTTCCATGGGGTAGTCTGTCTGGGAAAGTTTGCACGCAGGCCAAGTCTAGGCTAAACTAGGAGCTCTTCATTTCCCAGGGCTATCGGTCCTGCCCTTTTTCTTGAGCAGTAAATAACTCTCGGCTTTGAAAAGCATGCCCTGGTGACGTGTTCATCATGGCCATTGGAGGAGCAGAGTCTGGCTGTCTGGGTGCAGACCTCAGAGCTCCAAGCCTTGTCTGACACCAATTTCCTTACTGAAAAATGGTAGGGACTGTGGCCCTGATTGTGACCAAGGAAGGGATCCTATGTCTTATAGTAGATCGCATGGTGTTCCACTGAGTCCCCCTGTGTAGGGCTGATGTGTCTCCTCCCAGCTGCTAGGCATATTGGTTCAATGAATCACAGCTGGGCCCCTTGATGGCCATTGCCTAACACAGAGCGGACTACATTGCCCAAGGTTATTCTCTCTTTCGGGAGGCAGCTTATGCCGGGATACAGATGTCCAGCCCACAATCCTCAGTTTGGGACACAGTGGCTTTGGAGCTTCTTAAGGCATTGGATGAGGCCCCAGTTGCAGCTGCCTTAAAAGTCAGGTTCTTCTCCTATAGGAACACTTTTACACTGTTGGTGGGAGTGTAAATTAGTTCAATCATTGTGGAAGACAGTGTGGCAATTCCTCAAGGACCTAGAAATAGAAATTCCATTTGACCCAGCAATCCCATTACTTGGTATATATGCAAAGAATTATAAATCGTTCTTTTATAAGGACACATGCACACGAATGTTCATTGCAGCACTGTTTACAATAGCAAAGACTTGGAACCAACCCAAATGCCCATCGATGATAGACTGGACAAGGAAAATGTGGCACATATACACCATGGAATACTATGCAGCCATAAAAAACGATGAGTTCATATCCTTTGTAGGGACAAGGATGAACCTGGAAACCATCATTCTCAGCGAACTGACAAAAGAACAGAAAATCAAACACCCCATGTTCTCACTCATAGGCAAGTGTCGAACAATGAGAACACATGGATGCAGGGAGGGGAGCATCATACACTGGGGTCTGTTGAGGGGAGGGACTAGGGGAGGGACAGCAGGTGGTGGGGAGGGATAACATGGGGAGAAATGCCAGATATAGGTGATGGGGAGGAAGGCAGCAAACCACACTGCCATGTGTGTACCTATGCAACAATCTTAGATGTTCTTCACATGTACCCCAAAACCTAAAATGCAATTTAAAAAAAAGGTCAGGTTTTCCTTCTCCTCAACCCCACCTTCCTCACTTCCTCCCAGTTGTGTGTCCTGAGCACACTCTCAAGAAAGCTTCTGTGTGCAATTCCCCAATCACTGGACCTGTTTCCTGGGCACCTAAGCTAAGTGACTTTCTCATCATGGCCACTGTTTCCTTCAAAATCAGCTTTAAGATGTGTGAAATTAACATCACCCTCCAACAGGAATTTGCTTTGATAGAAGGGAGACATTGTTAGATACGAGTCTCTGACATTCATTTCCCCTCTGACAGCTATGGTTGGTCTTTGCAAGGAGGCTTGGGAAGAACCAATGGGTCCACTGATGACAGAGCTACAGTGGCTCTAGACACTTTCATCAGAAGTAACTTGAGAGACAAATAGAAGAGAAATTTCAGATACCATGAACATGTGGCATGCTAGCTGGGATTGCTGAATGGCACGCTAAGGGAAGTTGCTGGAAGAAGAGGGGTGTGAGATGAGCAGAGATAATGAAAGAAAGTTGGAAAAGGGACAGAAAGAGGAGGTAGAAGAGGACTTTCTTAAGGGATGAGAGATTTTTATTTACTTTCCTGGATTAGTTACTTATAAATGGTTAAAAAAAATCTACACCTGTTAATTGACTGCAAGTGTCTCTGTAATTTGAGAGCTCATGGCCTTCCAGGGGAGGGGAGGATGACTACAGATATGTGCAAAGAGTTAAATTTTACGAAGTGAGCATGCCAAGAGAAGCCCCACCTGTGTGTACATGTGCTTAAAGGATTACAGCAAAGTTTGAAATTATGATATATTTTCTTTAGAGTAAGCACGTTACTCTGTAAGCTTCTATTTCCTTGAAGGAGGGAGGAACAAACCATCAATTCTTGAAGGTAATCAGGTGCATGAGATACTCCTCTTGTGGGATTTAATGAAGGTTTAAGTGCAGAGAGATGAAGGCGGTGTTGTTTATGTTTTATTTTAACACATTAATAAAACCTATTTTTCATACTTGTGATTCCAATTCAAAGTTGTCATTTGCAAGAGTTTTATCAGCTCTGGTTGAAGGTGACATTTTTTGAGAGATGCAGGAACCGGGGGGTAATAGTGTGAGGGGCTAGCGGAACATTTAAAAGGGGATTTTTTTTTTTTTTTTGAGACAGAGTCACAATCTGTAGTCCAGGCTGGAGCACAGTGGTGTGAACTTGGCTCACTGCAACCTTTGCCTCCCAGGTTCAAGTGATTCTCCTGTCTCAGCATCTGGAGTAGGTGGGATTACAGGCGTGCACCACCACACTCAGCTACTTTTTGTATTTTTAGTGGAGACAGGATTTTAACATGTTGGCCAGGCTGGTCTTGAACAGCTGACCTCAGGTGATCTGTCTCCTTGGTCTCTCAAAGTGCTGGGATTACATGTGAGCCACCACACCTGGCCAAAAGGGGAATTTTAAAAGACGGATTGCTGTGATCCGTGTTCCCTTTAAGGTCTTCAAGAAATGTAAGTAAATATTTGGTTGTCTTTTTTTTTTATGTGAAAGATATTCATTGGCTGGAGTAGGTGATTATTTAATTTTTAAAAATGTTTATAGACTCGGGGGTACAAGTGCAGTTCTGTTGCATGGATCTGTCGCACAGTGGTGAAGTCTGAGCTTTTAGTACCCATTGCCTGTACCCAATCAGTCATTTTCATCCCTCACTCTCCTCCCACCCTTCAGCCTTTTGGAGCCTCCAGTGTCTCTTCCTCTATTCTGTATGTCCATAGACACCTGTCATTTAGCTCCCATTTCCAAGGAGAACATGCAGTTTCTGACTTTCTGTCTCTGAGTCATTTCACTTATGATAATGGCTTCTAGCTCAATCCATGTTGCTGCAAAAGATGTGATTTATTTTTGATGGCTGCATAGGTATTCCATGGTGTATATGTACCACATTTTAAAATCTGATGTTCTGTTAATGGACATGTAGGCTCAGCCTACGATGTTGCTATTGTGAATAGTGGAGCAGTTGATTTATTAAACTGAAGAGAGAAAAGGCCTTCATCTCCTCATGACTTAACAGGAATGAAGGCCAGTGCCTTTATAAAAGGATGGCCGTCACCAGCTACTGGGTAGGCTGAGGCTATTGATCGCCATAGGTTGCCATGGGTGTGTCAGGAGGACAAGGACAAGAAGATATGGTAATTATAAATTTAAATTTATAAATTTAAATTATAAATTATAAATCTAAGTTATGCAGCATGTAGTTTTTAGGAAACTGAAAATCATACACAGATACATCGAATAAAGGCATGGGTACTTTATTTTCAAAACACTCATATGTTGGAAAAAATACATGGAAAAATAAAGTTTCGTGGGGGTGCTGACTAAACTTCACGTCACAGACTTTTATGTTACAGCTTCGAGCAGGGTTTGTTATGCACGTGGAGAACACAAACTAATTTATTAAAGAGGATAGAAACAGGCTGTCTGGTTCTGAGAACCATCCAGTTCACCTGCTAGATACGGAGAGACTAGCTCTTCAAATGTTTTTCTACCAGTTCAGAGATGGGTTAATGACTGGTTCCAATGAGGGAAAAGCAAGGTGGGTTCAGAAACCAAATTATTTTAAACCAAGACACTTTTTTTGCAACACAATATACATCACAGTGAAATGTGTAATCCTTGCAAATTTCAAGTGGAAATAATTAAATTCAGAGGAGGGGAGAGAGAGTACAAGAGGGAGTGAGCACTAAACACTTATTTTTAAAGAAATGCACAAAGCAGAAAGCTACCCTGGCTTTGTGCTGTCTAGTACCCTGGTGGGTGTTGGCAGCATGTGGCATTAAACATTTCAATGTGGATCCCAAACCACAGAAAATGGGGTGAAATCGGCCAACTTTCTATGAACTTATGTTGGCAATTTTGCCACCAACAGTAAATTTGCCCTTTTAATAAAAGAAAATTGAAAGGTTTCTCACTAAACAGAATTAAGTAGTGGAATCAAGAAACTTCCAGGCATAGCGTACCTCATTAGTAATTATTTTGTTGTTTTATTTTTTCTGATGTCTCCCCTCTACCAGGTCCCCTGAGATAACAGAATGAAAATGGTAGGATAGCCAGATTTCTCCTTTGCTCTCTGCTCATTCTCTCTAAAGTCTAGGTCATCCATATTGGAGACCCATTAGAGGCATTAAACACAGTCCCCAAAGTGTTTAGACAGCTTCTTGTGTTTTGAAACAGGTTTTCTTTATCTTAGCCTTTTCATACCGAAGGCTGAGTCCCTTGCTTGCTCAGTGGACTGGGCTCCCCAAGGCCTAGGCTGCCTTCTTTTCCATGTCCCACCCATGAGCCCCCCGCTGGTCAGCTCAGTGAGCCTGGCCCTTCATTCTGCACCGTGTTCTTCCTTCTCTATGAAAATCCGATATCTCTTACCTCCTCTGCATGCAAAGATTCCCAGGAATTGTCAGACTTCGAACGTAACAACAGAACCACCAGAAGGTGCTATAAACGCAGCAGTGACCTTCTCAAGCTGTCAGGTCTTTAAACAGGATTGGGATTTAATGCTGTATATTTTTAAAGGAAAGAAGAGTTGCTAGTTTTAAAAATGCATCTCTTTTAGCTAATTCAGAATCTGTTCCCCAGCTTTTTTTTTTTTTTTTTTTTTTTTTTTTAAACTCAGGACAGACAAAGATTTGGGGAGAGGTGGAAAAAAGAAAGAAAGACCAGATCTCAGGCTAAATAAACGAGGCATATGTTAGGTGTAGCCAGACTCAAAGTTGGGACTAAAATGAAGCCCTTTAGTGAGTAACTGCTGCAAAAAAAGGAACAAAATATTTAAAAAGGAGGGAAGGAAGAATTATGTTGTCTCTCAGGATTCAGTACATGTGATAGCCTGTAAACTCCAGAAAACGTTTGATTCTAAATTCTCCAATCCGGGGGAAAAAAGTTGAGAAGAGGCCTTTCTGCTAATAAAAAATGCAACAGCCCCTAGAAGCAGTGTGAAGACCCTCCTTAGGCCCCTGGGTTGGACATGTGAAGATTCTCTGGCAAGGCCCCACCACTTGCAGTGGAGTTCTGTTTATACAGCTTGTCTTAAAAATCACAGTGAGTGCATCTTGTTCTATTTGGGCCACCCTGTAAATACTTAAGTTGGCATAATATTTTAAAAGGAATAAGAAGGAATAAGAAGCAGCTGATATTTCACCTCCTCCCACCCATCTCCCTCTCCCACACAAATGTGTGCTGAGCATGAAGGCGTTCTCTTGGAGACCTTCAATTTGCCCCTCTCTTTTACAGGGACAGAGAGAGCCTTGGCCAACAGAAGGCTTCTGGACTTAAGTTGAATTCAGTTGGTGACATCCTCATCCTGGCTGTCCTTCCTCCCTTTAGGTTTGCTTCTTCAGAGCTGATATTCAGTGACACAGGAGGACAGAGATGTAGGACAGAATCCTCAGGTGTACAGCTCATCCAAAATCATACAACGTGCTGGAAATAGCACTTGATTTTCCCTCTCCCCCCTTCAAACAGGTAGCCAGAAGCAAAAAATGACCTACAGTATGCACTGGGGGAATGAATGAGATATTAAAACTGCCACTGTCTGTTTTTTTCATTGTCCCACCAGTGAAGAATCTGAGATTGCCACGCAAATCTCCAACAGCTTTGGTGTGCACACCTGTCGCTCCTTGAGCTTGGCCCCTTGTGCTTTTCTGAGAGACACCCCGGGGAAGGCAGCTTTTGATCATACGTGGTTGTCACCTGAGCTGGCATTACCAAAAAGGTGGGCTCCAGCTGCCCACACAGTACAGGTATGGGTAGTAAGGATAGCTGTTATACACGGAGACCAGGGAGGCCCGGGAGAAGGCCTCCTCTTTCAGCGCTGGCAAAGAGGAGTGCTTCTCCAAGCCTCCCAGCTCCGAGGAGAGTTGCTTCCGTTTAGTCTTATAGCGTCTGTTCTGGAACCATATTTTCACTTGGGTCTCCGTGAGCTTGAGGTTCTTGGCCAGGTGAGCCCGTTCAGGGGCCGACAGGTACTTCTGATGGCTGAACTTCCTCTCCAATTCGATAACCTGCGTGTGGGAGAAAGCAGCCCGCGAGCGCTTCTGCGGCTGCTTGGGGGTTTGGGGGAGGCTTGGAAGGGCGCCTGAAGTCTTTTCACAGTCCAACAGATAAGACCCCAAGTGCCTATCTGGAAAGGAAAGCAGGGAAGGAGGGAGGGAAGACAAAAGTAACATGTTAGCAGGGAAGAGACCAGAATTCAATCCACCCTTATCTCTTCAGTGAGTGAACAAACAGCCCACTGTCATCGTGGATACATTTCACTTTTTTCACAAGACAGACTAAGCCGCTCTCCGGAGGGAAGAGTGAGTAAATATGTTTATTAGGTATTCATTTTCTAAGAATCAGCAAGAACCCAAAGTTAGAGGCATTTCGTGGTTGAACTTTCTCCCTATTGTCTGGTAGAGTTAAAGGAGGATTCTGGATCTGTGTGCTGAGGAGAGGAGGGAGAGGGAGGCAGGGAAGACGCCGAGGAACCAAATACCCGGGAAGGCCGGACCAAAAGGCATCCGGTGTTCGGATCTAGGTGGGCAAGGGAGGGCTTGTGCCTCGGGAGAGGCAGAGGCAGGCTCATTCAGGGCTTTCATTCCCTCTTCGCTAAACGGGGCCTTCAGTGGCCTCATCAGAAGTGGCAGGAAAGAAAATCAGTGGTCTCTGTCTCCTGGACACCGGAGGGAACCCCAATGTACGGCTTTACTGCCCACAGGATTGGGAAGCACACGGTCTTTGCTGGGCAACCCCTGCTTTGTCACTATTAATAAGTTATTATTAGTTCTCGTAACTACGGTGGGGCTGGCGCCCATCGCGAGTGGCGCGGTGGGATCCGCTCCCGGGACGATGGAGGGCGGTCGCCCTGCGGTCGCGCGGGGTTCTGAGCCCCAGGGAGCCGAGGGCATCCAGCCGGGCGAGCCCTGCGGTGTCAGAATCCTGCGCCGCCCTGACGCTGGGGCTCAGGGTTCATCCCCCGGGCGCACGCGTGGCGGGGGAGGCGGGGAGGTCTCTCTGCCTGCGGCCGCGGGGCCCCGTGTCTCCGCATCCCGAGCTCTAGAGGGTCCGCCTCGAGCAGCCCTCGGGCCGGGCCCGTCCGCCCCTCCTCTGGCCCCCCGACTAGCCGCTTACCTGGCTCCGTCTCCGGCGCGGCGCGGGGCCCAGAGCTCAGCTCGTCCTTCTGCGCCCCGGCACCACCGCGTCCTCCCTCCGCCTCCAGCTCCGGGTCCCGCCGTCGCGAGGTACCCCTGTGGCCGCCTGGCCGCTGAGCGCCGTCCCGCAGGATGTCCTGGATGAGGAAGGACGTGAGCGGCTTGGACGGGGTCGGCGGCGCTGCCCCCTCCGCTTCTGCCTCTCCGGACCGCGGCTCTGGAGTCCTGAGCATCCCGGCGGCCCGGCTCCGGCCTGACCCCAGCCTGGCTGTGCCCGCGGGCCGCGCCGGCAACGCTGGCAACGCTGGCAACGCTTTCGCTTTCCATCGCCCAGCTTGCTTATAGCCTCGGGGAGCGCGGCCGCGCCGCCTTCCCATTGGCCACAGGACGGGCGCGCTGCGGATTGGCCGCCCCAGCTCCAGGTGACCCCGCAGAGCAGCGAGTCCTGGGCGCCGCAGGGTTCAACTCCTTTCTCGGGGATTCCTTCCCCAGTTCCCACCCCTTTCCTGGCTCTCCTCCCTCCACCCTGAGCCGTTTTCCCAGGCCGGGAGGGAGCGCACACCAAAGCGGGACGACTCTGCCCCACCTACCCGCAACAGAAGTTGAGACGCTCTTGGGGATGGGATGACCGAGACAAACACTCCAGTTAGTTCTTCGGGCCCGTCAGAGCCATCACAGGGTGTGAGTGCGCAGTCACTGCCGCCGCACAGTACCGTGAGAGTTCTGGGAGCTCTCTCTCTCAGAGAGATGGTGGCATACTCAGATCTGCAATATCTACCGCCTCAAAGAGGCGTGACAAGTAGGTGAAGCCTGACCCCAGCCTGAGAGAAAGAAACCACCTTTGTCAAAGCCTTTCCTCAAGTGGGTTTCTTTGGCCTTTCCTTTATCTGCAATAACCTATTAACTTTCTTTCCGCCCCAGACAGATGACATACCATCCTTTTGAAAAATTCCAGACAGGTGGAAGGCATTTCAGAGCAGGACAGACACAAAAACTGCATTCAAAAAAATAGTTCAAAAGAACATCAGCATACCCTTTTTCCACATTACCAACTGTTAACATTTAACCCGTTTAACTGTTAACATTTAACAATCAGTTAGCCAAACTGGACCAACCAGTACAGTGATTGGACTGGGTGGTACCGTGACAATGGATGAAGGTGGAACAGAGATGCTGGAAGTATTTTCTTTTCTCCTCCCTTTTTACGGACAGGGTGTTTTTCTGCCGCCCAGGCTGCAGCGCGGTGATGCCATCATAGCTCACTGAAGCCTCAATCTCCTGGATTCAAGCGATCGTCCTGCCTTGGCCTCCCCACAGGTGTGAGTGGCAGTCTCGGCCGATGATGGAAGTACTGAATTACTGTTAAATTTACTGAAGTTGCACACCGTACTGTCAGTGTATAAGAGAATACTTTTAGGAAATAAACACTGAAGTATGTAGGAGTGAAGGCACAAGTTCTATGAAACTGAACATCAAATGGTTCTGAAACAAGGATTTAGATTGATAGATCGCACTCCACAAAGCCAATGGGTTAAATGGTAACGGTTGGTAATCTGGAAAAAGGGTAGGCTGATTTTTTTTTGAACTATTTTTTTTTTTAAATGCAACTTTTGAGTCTGTCCTGGTCTAAGACGCCTATCCATTTGACCGGAAACTTTTCGAAAGAATGATACGTCATGTGTCTCTGGAGGAAGGAAAGTTAATAGATTATTGCTGATAAAGCGACTGCCAAAAACCACCTGTGCAATGGGCAAGGCTTTGGCAAAGCTGGTTTTCTTCTCTCATCTTTTCAGAGTCTTTATATATTAGAACATTTAAAAAAATGTTTTCTTTTGAATCATTGTAGATTCACAGGAAGTTGCAAAAATAATACCTCCAGTGTCTTTCAGTGACATCTTATGTAACTGTAGGACAATGTAAAAAACAGGAAATTTACATTGGGACATTACAGTTAACTAGACTACAGAACTCATTTTATTTACTTATTTAGAGACAGGATCTTACTCTGTTGTCTAGGCTGGAGTGCAGTGGAGAGATCATGGCTCACTGCAACTCGGATCTCCTGGTCTGGAGAGATTCTCCCACCTCAACCTCCTGAATAGCTGGGACTACAGGTGGATGCCACCATGTCCAGATAATTTTCCTAAAGGTGAGGTTTCACCTTGTTGCTTAGGCTGGTCTCAAAGCCCTGGACTCAAACAATACTTCCCCCTTGACTTCCCAAAGTGCTGTGACTGCAGACGTGAGCTACTGTGCCTGCCTTATTGTGGTTTAATTTTTAAATTTGCATTTCACAAATAGGGGTGTTGAAAATCTTGTCATGTGCTTGTTTACTTTCCATATTTCCTCTTTGGTGAAATATCTGTTCAAGCCTTTTGCTCATAACGGATTTTAAAAAAATTATTGAGTTGTGATAGTTCTTTATGTATTGCTGTATGTAAGTCTTTGTCGGGTAGGTGGTTTGCAAATATTATTACCCAGTCTGTGGCTTGTGTTTTCCTCCCTTTAACAGGATCTTCAATGGAACAAAAGTTTAATTTCATTGAAGATCAATTTATGATTTTTGAATTTTGCAAATTATGATTTTGATGTCATGCCTAAGAACTCTTTGCTTACTCCTAATACTGAAGATTTGCTCCTATGTTATCTTCTAAAAGTTTCATGCTTTACTCTTAAATTCATGATTCATTCAGAATTAATTTTTGTGTATAGTATGAGGTTTAGGTTGAGATGGCCTCCTTTCATTTTTAAAATTGAGAGCTGGGTATGAATTATTTAATAACAAGTGCTGCCATTTGGAAATTATAAAGTTCTATTCTTATGACAAAATAAATTCCAGACAGCTGAAAAATATAAAACACAAACAAGCATGTGAAAAAAATATTTTAACGACGCTTGATCACTAAAGAAATGCAAATCGGAATCACATTGAGACAAGCCTTTTCCACCTTTCAGATGAACAAAGGTTAAAAAAATGGATAATGTCCAGTGTCAGTGAGAGTGTGGACGAACAGGTGCTTTCACACAGTCGTGCTCTGCATCATGGTGTTTGGTCAATGACAGACAGCATGTATGATGGTGGTTCCATAAGGTTATAATGCTGTATTTTTACTGTACCTTTTTATGTTTAGATGCACAAATTCTTACCATTGTGTTACCTTTGCCTGTAGTATTCAGTACAGTAACATGCTGTGCAGGTGTGTAGCCTAGGAGCAATAGGGCATATACCATGTAGCCTAGGTGCATAGTAGACTGTATCCATCTAAGTCTGTGTAAGTAGCTCTATAATGTTTGCATAACAACGAAATTGCCTAACAATGCATCTCTCAGAACACATTCTTGTTCCTAAGGATACATGACTGTTTTTGGATGGCAACTTGGCCGTATTTGTCAAAATTAAAACTGAGCATATCCTTTGACACAGCTATTCTGTGTTTGGTGATTTGCCCTAGAAATGCACAAATACACAATGTATTGACTTGGGAACATATATTCAATTTGGTCAGAGACTGGTTCAAGCTTCAAAATATGTTATAGACTAAACCCATTGTATAACACAGCATTATAGGTTATCTATATAATGTTTTACATTTGAACACTTTAACATGCAGAATATATAAGGAACAAGATATACACATATATATTCTTTTTTTCAATAGTTATTTCTGCTCAGTGAGATGGAGAGATGGAGACAGTAGGTAGGTTGGGAGAGGGACAGGAGGAGAGTGGAACAGGGTGTATTTCCTTGTGCTCACTGATACTTAAAAAAACTGTCAGGCTGGAGCTGAGCCTGGACTGCCCTCCTCCACTGAGCCCTCCTCAGGCCTGTGCGTGAGGCCACAGCTCATGGTCCTCAGCCTCACCTCACTGCATGTTTCCTCCCCTGGTGCTTTGTATTTGGGGCTGTGGATGCTCATCTTTATGAGACTGTGAGCTCCCTGAGAAGGGACTGTGTCCTTCTCATATGTGTGCCATCCCTAAAGTCTGGCTTAGTTTTGACATACAGAAGGTACTCCACAAATGCTTGCTGGCTGAATGTCCAGCTCCAGTTGTTAGGAGGCATCTCACTGGCTAGCAGAATGATCCTAAGGGGCCAAAGGACCCCCAGGCAAATCACAGTGGAAGGCTCGTCCTCCTCCCCTTGCTGTGTTTATGCAGCTTAAATTGGGTGAAATGTGCAAGGCAATCTGGAGACACTCATTGGCTGCAGCCCAGAACATTGCCCCCTCCCAATGATGGCCAACCCCTAATCCCCAGATGCTGTGAATATGCTATGTAAAAAGACAGCGAAAGGTAATGCTGCAGATGGAATTAAGTTTGCTGGTCTGCTGACCTTGAGATGGGAAGCTTATTCTGGATTATCCAAGTGGGCCTGTTGTAGTCCCAGGGGTCTTTGTCAGTACAGGTATGAGGCCGGAGCATCAGACTCAGACAAGGAGATGTGACAATTGAAGCAAGGCTAGAAAGACTCAATTGTGCTGGGTGCAGTGGCTCACGCCTGTAATCCCAGCACTTTGGGAAGCCACAATGGGCAGATTATGAGTTCAGGAGTTCAAGACCAGTCTGGTCATCATAGTGAAACCCCATCTCTACTAAAAATATAAAACTTAGCTGAGCATGGTGCTGTACACCTGTAATCCCAGCTACTTGGGAGGCTGAGGCAGGAGAATCACTTGAACCCTGGAGAGGGGGGTTGTGATGAGCCAAGATCCTGCCACTGAACTCCAGCCTGGGCAACAGAGCGAGACTCCATCTCAAAATACAAAAGGACAATAAAAAAAACAGCAATTGTGGGAAGGACTCAGCCAACCCCTGCTGGCTTTAAGGGTGCATGGAGGCCAGGAGCCAACCAATGCAGGCAACAGGGAAAGAAAAGTGGATTCTCTTCTAGAGCATCCAGAGGGAACACAGCCTTGATGACACCTTGATATTAGCCCAATAAGCTGGTGTGGGCTTCTGATGAACTACAGCGTAATAAATGTGCATTGTTTTAAGCCACTAACTTTGTGGTGATTTGCCACGGCAGCAGTGAGAAACTAATATAGGCGCATTGGCAAAGAGCAGCAGTGATGAAGGAGGTCCTACCAGCTCGGCCCCGACTGTGCAGATGTGAACTTGGGATTCTTTTTTCCCTTTTAAGCTGAAATATCTGTTTCGACCCATAATCTCATCCCTTCATTAAACTGTTTTCTTTGTGTGTTTTCTTTCAGTCTTGGACTATCTTTGATGGTAGGATAAATATAATTTTGTATCCTTTTTTCCCCCATTACATGTTTTAGAAACTATCTAAGAGCTAGAAGGGACCTCAGGATTATCTAAGCAAA